AAATGTTTCCACTGAATTAAGTTGGTAAAGATGATGTACTTACATTTACATCTCAATCAATATTGGTCATTTAGAATTATCATTTGCCGTCTCGAGTTTGTTTGGACTGTTTAAAAAGACAGCAGCTCTTACGGCTGCCAGTGCAAACAGACTTGTTAAATTCAATCAAGCTGTACCCAAGTTCACACACTCACACATATATATACATCAGTCCACTACATATATAACTGATCCATGAATTGTTCCTCTGGAAACAAGAGAAAATGTTGCAGAACGTGAACATGTCTGAATAAAGGGCAGTAGATTCACGGCTCGTTCACGGGTAAACTAAATAAAGCTGGAATGGACACTTTGAACAGCAGTTTCACCTTCATCGACTGGAAGTTGCGCGATATTAAACATGTTCCTTTCCACCCACAATGCACTGCATGCTAATGTAAAGTGTGTGAAATCATTAGCGACAAGCAGAGTGGAAAAGTCTCTGTCATTAATGCACTTAAGGGCCATTATTCAGTTCCATCCACACCCTCCTCCGTCTCCTCTCTATTCTGCTTTCGTGACAGACTAATGCCGACCCCCAGAGTTCAGTGGGGCGGGCGGCGGTCTGAGGAGGAGGGTGAAATCGAGACAGAGAGGTTTCACACAGTGCCGAGAGAGTTAGGAGAAGAAGAGACAGAATAGTGTGTGTGAAAAATGTAATATTCTTCTTCTGCATGCTCCAGGTGGAAATACGACACCTATTTAATTGTTGCCAGTGACCCAGCACATGATGGACGTGATAAAGAAATTGCAGAACTGAAAGGAAAGAGAATAAGAGGACAGAAAAAAAGGAAGATGAGATAATTAGAAATCACAGCAGGGGGGGCAAATCAAGGAGGCTGAAGAGAAGAGGGGCCGTCTCTCATTCTGCAGGGGCCCCACAGACGCTGGGGGGGGGGGGGCACATGTAAAGCTGCTGATTGTTAGGTATCATCCTCCCAATTACAGGCACGATGGAGGGTTCCAGCTCCGTGATTCGTCTTTATCCCTCCTGCCTTGCCACAGCCTGCAGGTTAGAGAATATCAAAGTGAGAAGAGCGAGTCGGTTTTATCATCTCAGTCAGACTCTCACTTTTTTTTTTTTTTTTACAGCGGAGGAGATAATAAGCAACAATAGCGACTTTCTATTTCCCACTCGAGACGTGTGTGATATGACAAATCTCATATCCTGTGATAGGTCATCTTATATCCAGAGAGCGATGCATTATGATACAGAACATTTTCTATATGGTTCAGTGTGAAATGAGACCACGTCTTTGCAGATGTGAGGCGCGGGGGGCATTATTCAATTCTATCTTTTTCCTGTTGTCGGATCAGCGAGGGATTCTCCGCTCAGACGTGTTCACAATAGCAACAAGAAGTCTGTATGGGATTCAGCTGAGGGGGGGGGGTGCAGCAGCAGCAGACGGAGGCGGGATGTCATCACGTGATCATATCGCTGTCGACTCCAATCTCCACAAACTCACCTGACGTCTTCGTTGGTGTCTTCTACATGTGTGTCATTGCTTTTTATGTTTTTTTCATTTTTGCGTTTGCATTGTGGTGAATCCAGCGGGGGGGAGGGGGTCCCCTGCTGTGTGCTCACATCGGACCAGTCGGGGAGAACGTCTGTGGAGGCTTTTCACTCAGACATTTGTGTTCAGACGTACACCTCATTCTAAAGAAATGTGTGAAAGCTTTCGAGTTTATGTGCCACAGGTTAAAATCCCCTTCTATCGTCTGAGTTTGGACTCTTCGAGGACTAGTGCCTCTTTTAGAAATGAGCTTCTGCTTTCACGTTGGCTGGTCTGAGACCTCCTCACGTTCAGAATGACCACGCTCTGGATTTTAATATTCTTTTGGTCCTAAACGTGCAGACTGTGCATGAACACATTTATAATGGTGAAGCAGCAAAACTCCACCACCACCTCAGACACACACATTTAGACATTCCAGTAGAGTCAGAGGCATGGGGCCTCGACAGGGGGTTTCCCGACCAGTCGCCTGTGAATCACAGTAAAACGAACGAGTAAACAGGTGAAGATGAAAGAAGAGAGAGAGTGGAGATGATGAACGAGTCACGGAGCCGTAAAAGTTTGTCTCAGTGCAACTCGCGCGCACGCACCGTTGGCCGAGCCATTAGCATAGCAGGTCATAGTAGCTCCTCTTTCATTAATTAGAGCCTCAATCCTCATGTGTCCAATTAAAACACTTGTGCTGGATATGAATATAAACACACTGTTATTATGCTCTGTGTGTGTGTGTGTTGGGGGGGGTTATCACTGAGTGTCGTTCAGGTTGCAACCATTTATTTTTCCTCACCTATCGTCGTCGTCATGGTATCACGTTCCTGGATGCTGAGTACTCCCGTTATCTCCTTGGTGACTGACAGGCATCGATCCCCCGACGACAAGGCTCCTCTTGATGATGTCATTTTGCAGTAATTGGATTGTAATTGGTGTTTAATGGTGTGTGTGTGTGTGTGTGTGTGTTAATGCGGCTGGAGCCCGTCTCTGTGGAGACTCAAGCGGAGACGTATCAAGCTCCTGCAGGACTGTTGTGGACTTCTGCCATCGATTTATGATTCCTTCCCGTCGCCATGATTGCATTGATTTTCCTCTAAAGTCTCTCAGGGCGTTTCTTAATTGAATATCACATGACTTTATGATGCGGCCTCTCGAGCCGGCACAGTAATTATATCTCGGGGCTTCTTCATTCCAGCCAACTCAGCGTTCCCCGACCCCCGGTGCATCTCGATTCTTATCTCAACACGATGGCGTTAACATTCATCAAGCCAACCTGACTCGCTATCTCGAGTTCTTACAACTCATTCCAGATATCACATCACAAACTATACGGTGTTGGTTTCCCCGGCTTCTCCCTCCCTGGCTTTCTGTTTATAGGCCAGCAGACACATGCAGTTGCTTCCCAACGGCATTGAAATCCATTAAGAATTCATCAGCGGCAAGATGGTGCTTTCTTAATCAATTCTGTGTGATCTCGCTGATGCATTCAGCCTCATTGACAGAGCGACGCACAGAAATGTGAGAAATAAGAAGCTCTGGTTTAACTGATGAGTTTTTCTAAGGCCAATTTTTTTTTTCTTTGAGCAATTTTTACGCCAAAAAAACTCACAAATGAGCAGCATTGACCTTTTTTGTTAGTGGTTTAATACAATGTTGTACTTTTACTTTTACAATGACTTTGCGATTACTTTCTATTGCCGCTTGTTTAAATTTGCCTTCTCGTTGTCAGCGTCCCGTGACGTCACTTTCCAATATCTTTTTGAATATTCCCGCCTCAGGTGACAAATGACAAATGTTTCCCTCTCAAAATAATATTTTCTACCTGCGATGATGTGGATTCTCACAATATGAATCACAGGTGACGTTCTTTGAGTTATTGCTGTGACATATTAACATAAATATCCATCACGGAGGTAAATGACAAATTTCGCCTGGAGGCACAATCAAATTTTATATGGCAGCGCTCTCCATAAGATGAACTGAAGTCTGATCACATTCTGGCATCGCTTACTTGAATAGTATTTCACAAAACACTGCACAAAATAAATGTACACCTTGAAGTAAACGTAAAGGGAGGACGCTGTTTCGGATTCTTTAAAACACTATTTGATTTCTTCATGCACTTTTATTCGGTACATTGATAAGGACATGTTTATTTCTTGTATTTACGGATTTGTATTCTTTGTTGGGTTGTTTCTGTTCCTTGTGTGTCTCAGTTACTTTTGTGTGATCCTCCGTGTTTTCTTGGTTTCTGTTTTATTTTGAAATTCGTCTTTGTGATGGTCTACACAGAAGAATATAGGACATCGGTGAAATAACAATATTAACAACCAAGTGTCGTCCATAAATGAGGAGGTGCATCAATTTATTTATTCTATTCGATGTGTACTTTGACGCTTTAGTTTGGGCCGTGTCCCATCCACTAACATGAAGGAAATGGGGTTTATGACCTATAGTGCTGCCAGCCACCAGGGGGTGGTCCATGTTGGCTCGTTCGTCTGCAGCTGTGTGACGACCTAAAGGTGAAGCAACAACCTTCAACCTTTCACACAGAAAGTCTTTGTTGGAAAGCACCGTGACCACACGATAACAAACAACCGCACAAGCTCTGTTCTCCTTCTCTCTCTTTCTCTTTCAGCTCTGCTCCTCTTCATCTTCAGCCGATTACAGTTCATGTGTTTTATCGTCGGGCTAAACGAGGCTGTCTGAGAAACGCTTTAGCCCTCGAGAGGCGCGGGCGGGGAGTGGGGGTGGGGGGGGGGGTGCTTTGCGCTTCTTAAACTTTTATCTTCAATAAGACATAAACAACGCGCTCAAATTAAGACAACAAAGCCGCAGTGGTGCTCATGCATGAAAGCGATCGGAGAAGAGAGACGCCGCAGAAGAAGAGATCAGAGTGTTTATTTTAGTAATGAGCTCTTGTCTTCACGGTTTCCGCTTCCAGCTGCGTCTTTGTGCTCCTCCGGCTGCCTTTCGTCTACATTGTGGATTTAACAGAAAAGAAACTCTACCTTGTTTTGGCTTCCAAATATCTCCTCAGACTCAGCTGTGTGTACGTTAGCTCGCTCCGGGGAGGTATGCCGCATGTAAACGGATTACACTTGGCCCGTGGCAGCATCAGCGACATCATGTGATTACTCCGCTCGTAAAATGATTCCAGACCTTTTCAGTATCTTTGAGGAATACATTAACATTTTAGTTTTTCTGAGTGCGGTGGATTTAAAACACAGTCACCGTCACTCACATAACAACATCTGTTAATATTTTTCGTGCAAGTCACGGTTTTTAGTCTCGGAGATTTACACACAAGGGTCTGAATCATTTCACATTTTCCCACTAAGCTTTTTAAAGTCAGTGTTTCAAATCACAGATCAGAGATAAAAACATTTTTCTTAACTTGTCAAAACTGCAGATATTGAGCCTCTTTCCCGTTTTCTCCTTATTGTCTTGTTCTAGATTGTGAACAAAGATGGACGATGCCGCTCCACGTCCTCTCCAGACCTTCCAACCGGCATCGCCGACAGAGTATCGAGGTCGTGCCAACACGTTCTCGACCAATCACGAGGTCAGTCTCAGCTGTCAACCATCTTCGAGAACAATGTGTTTTTGGCGTAGATCCGAGCAATTAATTGAAAACGTATCGACATTTATAACTTCTAACCGACTTGCTCATGTCGTTCATTTTGTAGATACTTTACTCAATGCAGGCATTTACATTTCAGCTACATTCATTTTGCAGCAGTTACCTTGTACCGCATGTCCTCGCTCCCCCGCTGATCTGCGCTCGCTTAAACACGTTAACATGTCAGCATGAGTGAGTGTAATTTGGTGCAGCCTGGTTGAATTTAAATGGACTTTGTTGGGCCTTGGTTTGGTCTCGAGTTAAACGCAGGATTTGTGATATAATTTAATAATAATGCGCCTTGAGGACGTTCATCACATCCATTGACTGCTCATAATAAGGTGTGTAAAAATCAATGAATGCATAAATTCCCAGTATAAACACGGAGCATCACAAGAGATAGTTAGAACATCGATGTAACGACACCTGCCTGGTCGTTCATTAACTGTTGCCATGGCAGAACAATTAAAAAGATGGAGGAGACTAATTTCAGAGCTGGAGGATCATTTCCTTTGTAGCACACGAGGGATGAGAGCTGTCACAGACAATGTGCTCTCTGTATAAATATCAGTTAACGTTATTCACAACATGCTGCATTTACTGGAGCCTGAAACCCCTGCTGGCATCATCTGGATAATTGTTTACTGTTATATCGAAATTAATATTTTCCAGAGAGAAATATTTGTTGTTAACATTTATGATCCCGTGCAGTCTGTAGTTAAACTTCCACATTAAAGCAAATTAAAGAATTAAATGTTTGAGTTAACAAACAATCAGGTGATGGACGACAGGTAAATGTGTTTCATTTGTAACATACATTACGTTCACAGAAATCTTTCTTTATTCTCCTACCGTGGTTTAGTCGTGTTCTTATGTTATATAATAAAACTACTGCAGCAGATAAATGCTCACTGTGATAATATATTCATTCTGGGCAATTTCAGGGGCTGAGAAGGTTTTCAACAGTTTACTACAGTTAAAGAAGAAACATGAAATACTTTTTTATTCATTAAAAGCAAAATAAGTAACTTAAAATATCCGAAGTACACAGTTTCATTGTGCAAAAGGGATTTCATTATTGTACTTTAATAACATATAGACATAGAATCTTAACTATGAAATAGAATATAAGTGTAAAGTAGAATATGGTGTTCTAGTACATCACAGTTGTACTTAAATATATAACTTGAGTACATGCAAATCTCTTTAGTATTTTGCTAAAAAGAAAACTGCAAAGTCACAGAAATGTAACTTTAAGAATCAGAAAAATCAGCTGAGATTGACCTCGTTTGAATGTTTGTTTGAATTTGCCTCAAGGAAAATTCAGAGAGAAGTCGACCCGAGCAAGTGACCGATTTCAAACACATGTGGTTTGTTTTATTTCCATTTTCAAACCTTATTTACAGACGGAGAAACCAACACTTTGAAATACACCCAGAGCGATGCACTGAAAATAAAATATAAAATATAAAATATTCTGTATGTACGGTATATCTGAGAGATACACAGCGAAGGTTAAATTTAGTAAGAGAGCAACAGAAAGTACAAGAGGAGGAAAAAAAAAAAACACAGGCAGGAGAAACCACTTCCACCACTTTCCCACAGTAGAAGCTTGTCTCCTTCCCTCTGCGGACCGGAGATTCAAACACAAGGACATGAATGATTCAACATCTGGCTTCTGCACATTTCTCTACATGTATCCACTGTACCAAAGGGAACTACAGAGACAAGTAAAGCTTCTCTTCTACTCCTCCATAATAATGTTTGCTCAGGTTTCAAGCTGTACCATGTTGCTCGTGCTCGTCTGAGGACCCAGATAGCTGCAGGATTCATGTACTCATCAGAGGACGCATGCACTCAAAAACACCGAGGGCTGTGTTTTAATGATCCGGGCGAATGTTTGGGAAAAAAAACTGCATGGAGGCGTTTCTGAATCAATTTTTGCAAGTTTCACTGCAGAAACAAATTGTGATGAAGTGCACGAATCAAAAACCTTGTACTTAACGTGTTAATCAATGGTGGGGGGTGTTTTGTGTGCAACAGTCAACCAATCAGAACGGCATCATCCTGTTCCTTTAAAAGCAGCTGTGTTGTAAATATACCTGATTTGTTTCCATCAATTATTATTGGAAAACAGTGAAAATGTTAAAAAAAGCAACAACACGAGAACAAGTGCATTCGTTATTTAAACACAGCCCCGAACCCTAAGTATAACTTTAAACATATCCCGACCCTAACCCTCATTGCAACCCTAACCCATATTCACCATAGGGTGAATAACTCCGCGATGCTTGCTCGAAACGTGCTGAAATTCGGTGTGGTTGTGTGGCAGGCTACCCTTTATGAATGAAATGAAATGCCCAAGCATCTGTGACTTTCAGAAAAAAAGTTATTCAAAAATAACACATACTTTTTTTTTTTAGATTTGGTGATTTCCGAAGGTCGTAGAAGCTAGGGGATGGTCCCAATGGATCGGGCAGAGCCACATTAGTGCAGATGGAACCAACTTCCAAGTCTCTATGACCTTCAGAAAAAAAGTTATTGAAGAGTATCTTGAACTCCTATAGGTTTTCATCCCTAACCCCCAATCCCCAACCCCAACCCTAAATACAACTTTAAACACAGCCCCAACCCTAACCCTATCCCTTATACAACTTTAAACACAACCTGACCTTAACCCTAACCCAGAATACAACTTTAAACACAGCCCCAACCCTTACCCTAACCCTAATCCCCTAACCCTCACCCCTAACCCAAACCTTACCCTAACCCTAGACTTAACCCCAACCCCAACACTAACCCCTAACCCTAACCCTAAACCTAATACAACTTTAAACACAGCCTGATCCTCACCTTCACCTGAATACAACTTTAAACAAAGCCCCAACCATAACCCTAACCCTAAATATAAATTTAAACAAAGCCCCAACCATAACCCTCACCCGAATACAACTTTAAACACAACCCTAACCCTAGCCCTAACCGTAACCCCAACCCTAACCCTCACCCTAACCCCGACCCCAACACTAACCCTAACCCTAATACAACT